CATGGGCTCCTCTCCAGCTCTTCAAAGCAAATCGTTAGAGAGAGGAGAGGAGAAGGCGGTGAGCTGCAGTTTCCCAGAGGGTGGAGAAAGGCAAAGGAAAGAATATTATGTGAAGGAAGGCAAGCTGATGGACTGAAGTCTCCTGAATGAAAAGGAAGGAAGAAAACAAACATGAGCAGGAAGGCGTAGAAGTAATTTCACAGGAGGATTTGCAGAACCATTGAGATGCATCATCACAATGACCAAAAACAGAAGAAAAAATCCTAAACCTAAGAGGAAATTTTGTTATTCAGGGCTTTTATTTCCTATTTTGCTGGTACTGCAGGACCTGGAGAGGAGGAAGGGGAACAGCAGTGTTTTTATGGGGAACAAACCCTGGCCAAGCCCAGCATGTGTTGTCAGAGGCTATGGTTTACATTAGAAAAGACTCTAATACTGTGCTACGGCTTCCAAGTGCATTTTGACGGTGATGATTATTTTCAACTGCTCAAATGGTGTGAAATACAGGCAGGGAATTGGAAAAAAAAGACCATTTGGCTTCAAGAAAAAAATCCGGCGCCCCTGTCAGAGGGAGAGCTGATGCTCTCCTCTCTGCTCCATAACGTGCTGCCTTGGTGGCGTTGGCATCCTGTGCCACGGCTGCTGCTGCACCACTCCTCGTCCTTTCAGCAGTGATCAGGGTTGCATAACCAGGAACTGATGCAGATTTGCTGTTTTCTCCTCCTCTTGCTCCAGCTCTCAGAGAGTGAATTATGGCATGTTCAAAAACCTCTGAGTTTCCCCAACCCAAACCCTGTCCCTGTAATCTGGCGGAGGTCTTGCCACAGCGGTTGTCACTAGAAAATTGGTTTCTATCCACAGGGTCCATGTGGCCAGAGGCAGAGAGGTGCTGGGCTCTGTGTGGGAAAAATGAGGTCCTAGAGTGGCCAAAAGAATATGGAGGGCTGGTGGGGGAGGAGGCAGGTCCTGGCACTGCCTGGCAGAAATGCTGCCTGCCTGAAATGCACCAGGGAGGGAAGATGGTCCTTGAGGATATCCCTGGAGGATGACACTGGGGAGCAAAGAGTGCTCCTGACACAGAGAAGTCCAGGACAAAACCATTCACCAGGCTGAGGACATGATGTCCAGGACCACGTGGAGGCTCCCAAAGTCAGTGGAAAAGCGCTCACCTCCAGCCCCATCCTCTCCTGGGCTTGGGACTGGTGATGCCTCCAGCCTCTTTCCTTCACCACAAATTACCTGGCCAACCCCTTCTATCAGCCTTTCCCCCCTTTCTAGACAAAACAACCTTTCCCCATTCCTGGGACTGCTCCTTTCTTCTCCAGACTTGCCTAGCCTCTTTCATCATGCCAATAAAAGAGTAAATGCATCACACGCTGGCCAGGGAGAGTGGAAACCCTTAAACATCTAAGAGGCGAGAGCGACAAGAGGTGTTTTTCTGAGGCTCCCTGATGCCCTGTTAGGTCAAATGTCTTGCTCTGAAGCAGGAGAGAGGGGACTTGTTAAAAACCTTTCATTTTTCTGATTTTTAAGGTCCTGTTTCAGCAGGCCGGAGGCCGAGGCGTGAGTGGGGCTGTCGGAGGGGAAGGGCAGTGAGCTGACAGCGTGCAAACAGATTGTGCAATATTTGCCTTGCACAGAGCTCCCATTGTAAAGCCTGGGAGTTCTGCTTCCAATAAATCCCCTGCCATAATGCCCCATTGATGGCAAGAGAAAGGCAGTATTGAGGGCTGAAACAGCTACGGCCTCAGGAAGGGTTAAAAAATAAAGAAAAGGGGGGAAAAAAGTAAAAAAAAAAAAGAAAGATTTGAGGCTTAGTTTTAAACTTTGCTGTGTGGCCCTCGTGGCAGATCGCAGGCGCAGAGAAATATGTGGAGCCTGTTTGCATAACCCCATTTGCAGCGAGCACTTTCAGAGCCAAAACGCAAGTGCGGCCGGAGCCGGGGGGCGGTGGGGAGAAAAAAGCAGGAAGGGCTGTGTTTATTTTCATTCTTGCCCCAGGCCACATAAAATTAATAATTTGAAAAAGGTAATAATTAAATATTTGGTCAGAGAACCAGCTGTGCAAATGTGAGGAGCTGTGACAGCTGCAGGGACATGGAGGGACTTGGTCCAGGCACTGGTCAGGGTTTGAAGCCTCACAGGTCATGTACCTGGGTGTAAAGGCACCAAAAAGGAGCGTTTTGGACTTTGGCTGGTGACTTTACCCTTGTTGCTGAGTGATTCCTCAGCATAGGGGCTTGGTTCCAGCTGGGAAGGGTCTGCAGGCACCTGGAAGGGCTGGGCTGGGGTGCAGGTGGGTGATGCTCTGCCCACAGAACTGCTGCCAGCCCCACATCACCCAGCACCCAGCTCACCTGCTGGGCCTCCCCATCATCCTGAACTGATACTGCTGCTGCAGACAGGGCTGGCAGGGAGATTCAGTGTCTTTTGTCACAGCAGCTGATGTAATGGGAGGAGTAGGGCTGTCCTTGCCAGGGCAGATGCAGGACCAAAGCAGGCAGGGTCTGCTGGCTGGCTCAGCACTAACAGCCAGGCCGGCTGCCAGGGGAAATCTCCCCATTGTGCAACATGCTGGAGCTCTCCAAGGAAGCTCCTGGCTCTTGAGACATCTTTGAGTGAGGCTGGATGAGTGACTGCCTTGAATTAAAGGCGGTTGAGGGGGTGCCTGCAGGCCCTGAGTACTTTTTCCATCCCAAGACCTTGTGATGCATTAATCACTCTCAGAGCAGCTGTGCAGACAGCTTAAATCGTCCTGACCCCAAAACTCCAGACTTGTAATTTCTTCCTCCTCCTCTCTGCTAGCCATTCCCTTCTCCTGCCTCCTGTCAGGGTATCGGTGGGGTTGGTTGGAGGGTCCCACTGCACCCCATTCCCTGGGATCTGGAGTGTTTTCACTGTACCCCTTGCTGCTTTTCACCCTTTCATCATTTCTTGGAGGAGCACTCAGAAGGTGTCCATGTGCTGCTGAGACCCAGCCAGCTGTCCCTGAACCTTCTGAGCAGGGTCACTGCCAACAAATTCACTATTTATTCACCCTTTGGCTCTTGGAAAAGCTCCCTTGGCTGAGTTAACCCTGCTGTTTCCTCCCCAGACCTGGGGCCAGCTTGGACCCATCACTGATTTAACTGAGCTGGCTGCCCTGGCTGGCACAGAATGTCCCCTCCCTGTGTCAGTATGTGCCCACGTCCCTGCTGCCACCTCCTTCCCTCCTTCAACCCTCTGAGCTTTGGCCACTGACAGCAGCTTAAACTCAGGATGACTCTCCCAGCCTGTGCCTCCTGATCCTAAGGGTGTGAGCTGGATGTGACCCACCACACAGCTGTGGAGTAGCAAATCCTCACACCCAGGAGGTGCTTGGCTCTGCTCTTGCTCCTCAGAGGTGGGATCCAGCCCTGCTCCTCGTAGGTGGGCTCCAAACCCACTCCTGTGACCACACATCCCTTCTGCTGCCCCCTCCTGCACCTCCCTCCTGCTCATCCTCTGGCCCCAAGCACGACATAGTTTATCAGTGATCTGTGTTGCCTTGAACACAGTTTCTCTGCCATGTCTCAGGCCTGACATCTTCAATTTCCTCTCTCATCTGTAACACTCACCCAAGTGGACCATTATTTATTATTTGGGAAGAGCTCTGATTACAAGCCCTGGCAATAACTCTGTCTCTGGTTGGGGTGTGTGTACAGAGCCAAGTGTACAGGAGAACACAGGACGCAGGAGACAGGGATCCCCCACCTCTACTTCCCTTCAGTCACATCCAGGTTTTTCCAGGAGGAGGATATTTTTCAAAACTAAAGGTGTTGGGGAAGAAAAGGGAGGCAAGTGGTGGGAAGGAGGAGGGAAAGAGAGAAGAGAATCCGGTGGAAGAAATGAGAGATGAGCCCCTGGGGATTAATCAAACCTCACTGAAGGGCTTAGCCCAGCCCTTCTGAGCTGTCGAGTGAGCAGGGGTTCCTGCCAGCAGGGAAAAGCACAGAACACAGCTATCCATCCCTGCCTCCTGCTCCTGTCCCCTGCACCCCTCCCTGTGCTCCTGCAAGCCCCTGAGCCCCGGCTCTGTCCCTGACCCCATGCTCTCTGCCTGTGTCTCAAGCTAGGAGGGAGAAGCTCATTCTCCCTTTGCTGTTCCTGGGAGTCCCGGAGAGTGAGGAGCCTTTGATCCCTCCTCCCCACTCCTCCATGGTGTCTAGGGCCCTAGGGAGCAGGCTGGCGTGGGGCAGGGGGGACACTTGGGGACTGGAGGGTCAGTGGAAGGGCAGGGAGTGTGGGAGGAGCCCAGGGAGGGGATCTGGGAAGGGGACATGTAGGGAGCCATGGAGCCATCTATCTCATCTGCTCTTCTGAGCCAGTTCTGAAGGCAGAGCCCTCCCAGACCCCAGTGAGCCCCCACCACAGCCCTGCAGGTGTAAAGGCAGGTGGCATGGCTGGGCTGGGGGCTCTTGGGGTGCCCAGCGTACTGGGACCCCTCAGGTCCCCATCACTTTGGAACTGCAAACAGCCACAGGACTCTGCCTGGGCCAGCTCTGACAGGGATGGGTGAATGTGAGTGGATTTGTGCCAAAAATCCCCCTTCCTGGGCCATGTCCTTGGCTGGGAAAGTGGGGGGGGGGACAGGATGGATACCAGGCACGAGGGCTTCCTGATGAGTGCTGGCCCTGCAGAAGGAATTGCACAGGGCCATTGCACATCTCTGCCAACTCCTTCCCTGAAACATCAGGGCACTGGCCCCTTGTCCCGGCACCCCAAGCTCAGATCAGTACCCCCTGCACTGGCAGAAGTTTCTGGTTCCCATCAAACCTTGCTCCTCTCTGGCTGTGACAATGGCCCTTGGCTGCCTCAGTTTCCCCACTTGGAAAATGGGTGCAGCTACACCCACCACTCCTTGGCGCTCAGCAAGTCCCCGAGTGGTTTTATTAACACTGGAGGTGTTCAAGCAAGTTTTTGCAACTTCTCGTCGCTCAGGATTTATTTGGACGATGGTCCTGTCAGTGTGGGCAGCTGGCCCCAGCAATCCCTCCCAGAGATCCAGCCCTCCCCGCCGCCCTTCCCTTGGCTGGATGCTGCGGGGGCTTCAGCTGAGCATCCCACCGCGGGTCCGATCCGTGTGTCACACGCCTCGGTGGCTCAGGGAGCGCCACGCTCAGGACGTGCCCTGGGGCTTCCCAGCTTTTTGCTGGAGCTGCTGAGCTGGGAGGGGCCGAGCCGGCAGCTCCCCATAAACCTGGCGGCTTAGAGCAACTCCTGACAGATGTTGGGACTCTGCCTCGGAGCGGAGGCTGGGAAGGAGAGAGGGCGGCTCTTGCCCGGAGAGCGAGGAGGAGAGCTCGGCACCCCTGCCTTGAACTTTAGCACCCTCTTCCGCGGAGTTTAAAGCCGAGGATCGCCGGATCCCGAGCAGGATAGCCGGGCAGGCGCAGGGCTGGAGCAGACCAGAAGCCAGAGCAACTTTCTCTGACGAGGACTTTGTGGAGCTCTTCACAAAGAAATAACAGCAGGGAAAAGCCGCAGGAAGCGTTTCCAGCGCTCGGGACCGGCTCCGGGCCGCCGGCAGCCCGTGCGAGGAGCCCGTCCCGCCGTGCAGATGTGTGCGATTGGAGCAGCGTGAGTTTATTTTCCTTTGACTGAAGGCAGCCCAGCCCCGGCGGATTAAGCTCTTTGTGTGCACGCCAGTGTGCCTTGATGGAAGCTGCTCCCGCAAAATCAGCTGCGGGGGTTGTGGGGAGCATCCTCTAGGTCAGGGAGCCCTCCTGGAGGAGGGGGAGAGCTCCTGTTTTGGTGGCTCTGAGGCGATGCCGGGACAGTAACACCCTTGGCAGGCAGCACAGTGCTTCGGGATGGCCGTCTATGCCCTCACGGGTTTCTCGCTCGTCAGCCTGCTCAGCTTTGGCTATTTGTCTTGGGACTGGATGAAGCCCGGTTTGGTGGCCGATGTGGCCACAGACCCCATGGAGAAATCCCTGCCTCCCACCTTCACCAGGCCACCCCACATCATCTTCATTCTGACTGATGACCAGGGCTACCACGACATCGGCTATCACGGCTCAGATATCCAGACGCCGACGCTGGACAGGCTGGCAGCAGAGGGTGTGAAGCTGGAGAATTACTACATCCAGCCCATCTGCACCCCGTCCCGGAGCCAGCTGATAACTGGCAGGTAAGCCAGTGCCTGCTCACAACCTAGTCATGTCCCCCTTTGGTCCCTTCTCTGAGGGGCTTAACCCCAGCTTGCTGCTAGAGCGATGCCCTGGTGTATTGGCAGAGGATGGAGATCTGGATTTCTCTAGAAAGCTTCCTGGGTAAATAGTTGATTTCCACACAGGAAATAGTGGCACATGGCAAGAGGAAAAATGTGGATGCTGCTGGGTAATGGATGTCACTTTGGGAGAGGGTGGTCCCTAGTCAGGAGGTCTTTGGTGCTGGGCAAGGAGCTGTGTCCCCAGGTAGTCCCTGACACACTGGCCCTTGGAGATTTGCTGTGAGGCCCTTGGTGTGTTCTTTCCCTGAGCACAGGGAAGAGCTGCACTAGCCAGCACAGGCTGGATGTCACTCCACTCCCCTCTCCCATGGCAGCACAGTCAGATGTCCCCTTATCCAGGGCCATTCTGCCTTCTAGGATAGGTGGGGCTTTCTCTGGAGCAGTGCTGTGTGGTCAGCACCCACTGTAGGAGGCAGATCCCACCAGACCACCTCCTGCTGAGAAGTAGGCCCCAGGGATGTGCTCACCTACTGCCTGGAGTGGTGGAGCCCACCATGGTCCAAGCAAAGGCCTCCCTTCTCTTCTGAAGGTTCTTGAGGGGTTCCAGACATCTTTGTGGTGTGCAAAGCAGGGGAGGACAGAGATAGGGGGGTTATTCAGGTGGGGCATTATGAACCCACTTGTTTGTGCTCCCCAGCCGTGACACAGCCCAGCCACCTCCCTAGGCTGGTAGCAGTGAGAACAAATGCTGGTGGCATTTTTGTGAGATGTCTGCTGAGCATCTCTCTGTGTTCTTTCCATCTACTTTTGATACTTATGAACGGATGAGGAGCTCCCTGTCCCTGGCTGGAGCTTGCTTCATTGGGCTGGGTTGGGGACATGGAAATCTGCATTTGTTTTGGTTCTCTAACACATAAAGTGCCATCACATCCTCACCCAGTGCTGCTCCTCATCACCATTGCTTTCCCCTGGCTCTTGCTCCTGGCAGGTACCAGATCCACACAGGATTGCAACACTCCATCATCCGCCCTCGGCAGCCCAACTGCCTGCCCCTCGACCAGGTCACCCTGCCACAGAAGCTGCAGGAAGCCGGCTACTCCACACACATGGTGGGCAAGTGGCACCTTGGCTTCTACAAGAAGGAGTGCCTGCCCACCCGCCGGGGCTTCGACACCTTCCTGGGCTCCCTGACAGGCAACGTGGATTACTACACCTACGACAACTGCGACGGGCCGGACGTCTGCGGCTACGACCTGCACGAGGGGGAGGACGTGGCGTGGGACCAGAGCGGGAAGTATTCCACCTTCCTCTACGCCCAGCGCGTCAGCAAGATCCTGGCATCCCACAGCCCCAAGGAGCCCATCTTCATCTACGTGGCCTTCCAAGCGGTGCACACGCCCCTGCAGTCCCCCAAGGAGTACATCTACCGCTACCGCTCCATGGGCAACGTCGCCCGCCGCAAGTACGCAGCCATGGTGACCTGCATGGACGAGGCGGTGAAGAACATCACCTGGGCCCTCAAGAAGTATGGGTACTATGACAACAGCGTGATCGTGTTCTCCACGGACAATGGTGGGCAGACCTTCTCCGGGGGAAGCAACTGGCCGCTGCGGGGTCGCAAAGGGACGTACTGGGAAGGGGGAGTGCGTGGCATTGGTTTTGTCCACAGTCCCCTGATCAAGCGCAAGCGTCGGACAAGCTGGGCGCTAGTTCACATTACAGACTGGTACCCTACTCTGGTCAGCCTGGCCAGGGGCAACCTGAGCAATGTCCAAGGCTTGGATGGATATGATGTCTGGCCTGCTATCAGTGAGGGCAAGGACTCACCACGCACTGAAATCCTGCACAATATTGACCCCTTGTACAACCACGCCAAGTATGGCTCCTTGGAGGATGGCTTCGGCATCTGGAACACGGCTGTGCAAGCTTCCATCCGGGTTGGGGAGTGGAAGCTCCTCACTGGCGACCCAGGGTACAGTGACTGGATACCCCCACAGACCCTGACCAACTTTCCAGGGAGCTGGTGGAACCTGGAGCGTCTCACTGATGGCCTGAAGAAGTCCATGTGGCTCTTCAACATCACTGCCGACCCCTACGAGCGCTACGACCTCTCAGAGCAGCGCCCAGACGTGGTCAGGACCCTCCTGACGAGGCTGGTGCACTACAACCGGACGGCCATCCCGGTGCGGTACCCTGCGGAGAACCCCCGGGCTCACCCAGACTTCAACGGCGGGGCCTGGGGACCTTGGGCCAGTGAGGATGATGGGGAGGAGTGGGAAGGTGGCCGGGAGTCTCTGAAAAGCAGGAACAAGAAGAAGAAGAAGAAGTGCAAGATCTGCAAGCTGCGCTCCTTCTTCCGCAAGCTGAACACCAGGCTCATGTCCAACCGCATCTGACAGGACACTCCTCCAGCATCCACCCATCCTGGCCAGGGTGGAGCTCTGGACTGCAGTGCCATGGGATGGGAGCGAGGGAGAAGGACAGGCAGGGAGTGGCCAGTGCTTTCTTGCTCTCCCTTGCTCCAGGGTTTACTCCAAAATACTCCCTGGCTGGAGTGGTGGCCACAGGGAGTTGTTCCCAGTGGGTGAGGAAGGGCAGTGTGGTCTCTGCTGCAGTGCTTGGTGGTGGTGAATGACTGTGCTGAGCTGGGCTGGCCCTGCACAGCTGCTTCCAAAGAGAGAGACCCTTTCCTCAAGGATTCTGCAGCCAATCATTAGCTTTAAGTGTTGGCCATCACAAGGGCAGGAGGAAGCATGGGGGGCTCTGCTTTCACGTTAACCCTCCCCATTTCTACTTACCCCTGGCTTGCAGCCTGCTGCCAAGCAGCTGCAACCTTTGCTCTTGCTCTGGGAACTCAAGGGCCTCCCCCAAACCCAAGACCACATTGCTTCTTTGTGGAGCACTGGATTCCTGACCATGGATGTCAGACCTGAGATTCAACGTGGCTGGACTAAATCATGCTGCTACCGTGACCTCATGCGGGGCTATGGCTTCCCCTCTGCACTGGCCTGGGGGGCCGGGAGCAGCCCTGATGAGGAGCTGTGGCCATGGAGGCATGGTTGGATGCTCCCAGAGGATGTCCCAGAGGACAGCTCTTTGGCCCCACATTTGGGAGGCAGGTTTGACCCAGGCTCTGGTGGTGGACTGCACATGGGTCAGATACCCAGCAGAGCCTTTCACCCAGAATTTGCCTGGACACCCCCATCATCTGCAAGCCTCTAGGCACCCCTGTTCCTCCCTATGAATCCTACACATCCAACCAGCCAACCACCCCTGTCTGCCCCTTCCCAATGCTGGAGCTGTCCCTGTCCCTCTCCCCACATCCCATGGCTGAACCTGGAGCTGATAGAAGATCTCCAGAAGGTCTCTGCAGAAGCTGATCTGCTGTTTTGTAGCTGCAGGACTTTAGAAGCCACGGTGGAGGACGGGGATGATTGGGACGTCTCCCGCCTGCCAGCAGCGCGCCACATCCCCTCGCCGCAGATGGGCACTGCTCTTCCAGCAGCGCAGGCGTGGGGAGGAAAACACCTCCCCATCATCCGCTGCTGTGGGGAGCCAGCCCATCCCTCACCAGGGGCCAGGGAAGCCAGCGAAGCTCCGGGCCCCCGCGCCTTCGGCGGGGTGAGAGCGCGCACACGCGCTCGCAGGAGAGCTGGCGAGGAGGGAAGGGGGTAAATAGCTTTGAAATCGCTTTGGATGCATGGTGCATTTCCATTTACACAATGTGTTTTACATTTCTCCCCACAGGTTTCTCTTGGTGCAGCGTGTGTAGGCGAAGGCCCTGCTGTGAATTTTGAAAATAGTTATTTTTGTCTCTGGAAAATGAGGCCCGTTAGGACTTGTCAGCTCTTGGATGAGCAGTGTGGGCTTTCTATTTTTTTTTTCTTTTCCCCCCTCTCTTTCTCCCTTGCAAAATAACATTCATTTAAAATCTGTCATTGAAAGATGTGACAATTGGCAGCGTGCACACTGAATACCTTTCAGTGCTCTTTCAAGCCCTGTGTGTGAGAGAGGGATGAAGATGGGAAGAAAATGACATGTTTGTATTTTTTTTTTTTTCTTACTCTTAGCTGGATTATTTGGGGGTAATGGGATTTTCTCTAGAAACAAAGGAAAAAAACCAGCTGACAGCAAAGCAGAAGAGAGGAGTCTTCTTCTTGTAGAGCTGGGAAGGAGTTTGAAAAGCTGGAGTGTGGCAGTGTGTGTGCCAGTCCCCGCTGCTCCGCGCACGCCCATTGCTGTGCCATCCCACTCCGCTGGCTCCCTGCATCCCTGCAGGCACATCCCCAGCACAGGGTTCAGAGGGGACTCAGCTCCTCCATCAGCCCCATCTCCATCCCTGCTCCCTTAGCATGTTGCTCCAAGAGGACTGGTCCACATGGCATCACCTGGGTGGAGGTGAGCCCCAGGAGGAAGCTCCACATCCTCAAACTACCTCAAATCAGCCAGCCTGGTCCCTGGAGATGTGCACCATCAGCGGGACTGCGGCACCTGCTGCCATTTGGCAAAGCCAAGCAGTTGCTGAAAATAAAGCAACACTTTGCTGAAGAAGAGGAGGCTGCTGCAGACAGAGCCAAAGCCAGGGGAGAGCAGCGGGTGATGCTGCAGGGGCTTGGGAATAAATATTAGCTAAGGGAGAGTTGGTGCTGAAGGGAATGGGAGAGCAGGGCTGGACATGATGTGGTGACAACACTCGGGAAACAGCTTTCATTTCCATATTTACATAAATGCATCCAAGTTTAGTCCTTTTATTTTCTTTTTTTTTTTTTCCAAAAATGTAAATTTCCATGAAAACATGCTCCATCTTTCTCCCTTCTCTTTTATTAACATCCCCATGAAAATGTTCGTCTGCTCTCACTTCCTCTTTCTGGGTTTGGATCTGCTGGGCTGATGCTGGGTTTGCAGTCAGCCTGGCCACAGTGGTGGATCTGCTGTCATCTGTATTTTAATTAAAAAGAGTTGGATTCTGAATCTTTGCAAGAAGAAACAGCTGAAGGAAAAGCTTAGTCCCTGAAAACAAAGAGGAGAAGTAGGCAGGAGCATCTCCGAGTGCTAGGAGAGAGCAAAGCCTCCATCCTGAGGACAGCAGCTGTCCTTCACCCCTGATTCCAGCTGTGCTGTGTCTTAACATTGGGCTGGGAAAGGAGATGCAGCTGCTGCCACGTGTTCTCCTCATCACAGCAATGCTCCTTAATGGTCTGTGCTGTGAAAAATGCAGCTATGTGCCAAAATCCCATGTTTTCAGAGAGCTGAAGTCCCCTAGGACTGTGTGTGCGCTCTGGCTGCCAAGGGGTTAATGCAGCTGGAGAGATGCTCAAGCAGTGGAGTTCCCTGCACCCGGGAGATGTGTTTTCACAGACAGGCTGAGGCTCCCCTCCTTCCCAACCTCCCTTCAAAGCTCCTGGCAAGCCCCGGGGAGCTCCCGAGCCCAGCAGGAGCTGGGTGCAGGGTGGGGGCCTGGAGGGAAGGGGCGGGGGTGCATCGGGGTCCTCGGGCATGGAGGGGTGGTGGCTGCCTCTCTGTCCGTGTGGACTGGCTGTCCCCACCCTGGCTGTTTCCAGCCTGCTGGCTGGAGCGAGTGGGAAGGGGATGGGCTGGGAAAGAATGGAGTTGGGATGGGATAGAGATGGGGAGGAGGATGAGAGGGGGGTGGGGCTGGACTGGGCTGGGCTGGGCTGGGCTGGGCTGGGCTGGGCTGAGGAGGGGAGTGGGATAGGACGGGGATGGAATAGGGATGGGATGCATTAGGCAGGACTGGGGGTACGTCAGAGCCTCTCCAACCCCACAGGCAACTCCCACCGGAGAGAGGGAAGAAGCCCAGTATCAGGACATCCCAGCAAACTGCCCCAGTGGCAGAGCACCCTGAGCACCTCAGAAGGTGTTCTGCATCAGGGGCACTTGTGTTCTTTCTCATGCCAGCGATCTGAGGACGTGTGGTTTTGCAGGTTCCCCCCACTCAGATCCGGCGCACGATGGTTCCAGGGAGCCACACGGCACCTACTGATTGTCCCCAAGTGTCATGGGCATGTCCATTGGAGGGTCTTTGCCTATGAACCCTGCTGTAGGGGAGAGAGTGGCACTGAGAACACCCTGTCTCAGCCAAAAGAACCTTCCTGCGGTTGCAGGAGCAACTGCTGGGCCCATAGGGACAGGGCACGTTTGCAAACACAGCCCTAAATGTAAATCAGCTCTCCTCACCACGGTATTTATAATCTTATCTAAAAATAACGCCAAATTCAGCTTCCCAGAGGACAGCAACTGAGCATCCCCCAGACCCCAGCTTGCATGTGAAACTGTCCCAGTAATTTTGGGATCTCTGCAGTATGTAATTGGCAGCCCGGCTGGTTTGGTGTGAGAGGCACTGCTGCAAGCCCCATCCCCTGGGAGCAGGGGAACCTGCTGCAGCCCCCCAGGACACGTGGGGCCATCCCGTGTGGTTGGGGTTCAGCATCCGACCTCGGTGCCCACCCTGGGCCAGCCCCGTGATGCAGAAACCAAAGCTCTGCAGGCAGAGCTGGAGCAGGGTGGGGAGAGCAGGATGCATTTTTGGAGACGCCAGCCCAGTGATGGAGAGGAGCACTGGGGATGAAGGTCTCCATCAGGTGGCCAGACCCGAGCATGGCAGCAGAAGAGCAGCATGGCTCCCAAAGCCCTGCAGGAGCAAATCTTGGGATGGTGGGAACAGACACATCCTGAGAACATCTGGAGGCCTCTGGGAGAGGACTGGGAGTACTCCCCCCTACAGGGGAGCCCCCAGCCCAGAGGTGGAGGTTCCTCCCAGAGCTCCTGCTCCCCTCGGACTGTCCCCAGGCACTCAGGACTGAGACCACGCAGCAGTTCCTGCTTGGGAGAACATCACCAGCAAAGCAGAGCTTGTTCAGCATGCAGAAGTCTGACACCCCCTTACCCTCAGAAACAAAAATGTTGAGGAAAAGGAAAAAAACTGGATAGAGAGAAGAACAGAGAGGGAGAAACTTTTCCTGGAGAGCCGTGTCTCTGCTGGGCAGGAGAACCCTGGGGAACGAGGCAGGGTCCTGGGGGGACTTTGCCATCACCCCTGCCTGGGTGAGGGGTTTGGGCTGCAGCAGGGCCCCGGGGGGAAGGAAGGGACAGATCCCTCCTCCGGCTCCGGGAGCATGCAGAGTCACGCGTGTGGGGTTGAGCACGTGTGGCAGTGTGGGAGTGGGCACGGGGAGGGGGGCAGGTCACATTGCGGAGCTCACGGGGACACGAACAGCAGCGCAGGTGGGAGGGAGGTGGGAGTGAGGCAGGGGCACAGCGCTGCCCACGGGCATCCGGGGGTCTTGGGAGTGGGGGGCTCTTGCTCTTGCCTCTAGGGTTCCAAGGGGCTGCTGGGGGTTGGCTGCAAAATGCTGGAGGAGGAAAGCACTCCCACAAACATCCGGATGCACTGGCCCCCATGGCAGCCCCCCACATCCTGGCAGAGCCCTGGGGTGGGGAATGAACCCCCCTTTTTTGTGGGAGCAGCATGGGGAGGAGTTGTGCAGATGCCCAGAGGCGTTTTGGGGACCGTCGTGTCCCTGGGGCACAGGTGGCACATGTGCATCGCCTGTAGCCCAGGTGAGGGTGCCTGGTGTGCTCTGCCCATGCCAGGGCATGGCCAGGGTGGCTCTGGAGGTCATCAACCCTTGGGGACTGTGGCCCCACCCCTGTGCCCTTCCATGGCTGGGAATCAGTCCCTGCTCTGCCACCAGGGTCCCCTGGACGGGACCAGACAGGAGCGGGAGGCTGGATGCAGGGATGCAAGGTGGGGATGAAGGTGGGTAATGGTGCAATTAATGGAAAAGCCATTAGACCTTTCTCCTCCTCCCCCTCCTCTTCCTCACTCCGCCACTTGCTGTCCTCCTCCACTTCCACCTCCTTTCTTCTCTCCCTCTCTGCTCCTCCTCTCTCCCCTCTCAAAGATTTCTCCCTATTTTTGTCTGGTTAGAACCTTTTCTTTTCCTTTTAACCCTTCCATGGCAGCCTGAAAGGGAACTCAATCTGTCTCAGCTGCCAAAGGCAATGCCCTCCCAGCTGGCACAGGGAGTCCCTTCTCCTGTTGTGAGAAGGGCCCTGCTGCTGCAAAATCATCCAGAAATGGGACACAAGCCTAGTAGAAAGCTCTTCTGGGGGAAGTCAGCAGGTGGAAAATGCAAGGGGTGGTGTAGACAGAGGGGGTGCTGCTGGATCCCCAGAGAGGGCTGGTGGGGACTCAGAGGGAAACCCCTTCCCTGAGGTTTTAGATCTCACATCTCCATTTTATTGCACTTTTTGTGCTTTCTTATGTTCAGCACAGCAGAGAGGCGACTCAGCAACAAAAAGTCCAAGGACTAGAGGCCAGACCTTCCTCCTATTCGCACTTTGAAAGTCCCCGTTTCTACCCTGGCTTGGGCAGCACAGGGACACAGCACGCCAGGACACAGTCCTTTTACTCCCCTCTAGCTGTGCTTCAGGCCAGGCTGCTCGTCCCTCTCTGGGAGGGACCCTCAGGAGCTGCTCCAGGGGAACCCCAGGGCCCCTGGGGGACGCAGTGGGCAAAGGGGGGAGTGGGGAGCAGCCAGCCCTCCCCTGCAGTGTGATCGGGGCCGGCCCCTCTGGGGACCCTGGCTGAAGGTGGGACAGTGTGGGGACCTGGGGACCTGCCATGATTTCTCCAGCTTCTCCTGACACACTTCTGCTCCATCTGCTCCCTCCTGCTGCAGCGTGTCCCCATCCCACAGCCCCCAGGGCCCCCAGGAATGCTGCTGCAGGTACCAGCAGGGCCTGTATTTTTTTTTTTTTTTGGTGGTGGGGGGGAGATAAGCAGTTGCTGGGGTGACAGCATCCTCCTGCAACATGGAAACCACAGTTTCCATGGAAACCTTTTTTGCCCCAATTATTTTACCACTGCCACAGCTTTTAATTTGCCATTAATAGTTGTATTTTAGATATCCCCCTCCGCAGCAGGTGGGTGACCCCCGGGCAGCCCCCGGGCCGGGTGCCCAGCAGGGCCCTGGTCCCCACGGAGGGCGGCGGGTTTGGGAAGCAGTTGCCCCGGCAACAGAAACAGGGCGTTTCTGGCAGCGGTGGTCACCATGGGGACGGCGATGCTGACGAAGGCTTGTGAAGCTGAGAAGACAAATTGCCCTCATCATTATCTCTGGGCTTGTCAATCAAATATATTCCCTTATTTACCTCAGCGAGGAGAGAGCCCCGGGAGCACACGGAGAGGGAGGGAGCGAGAGGAGAGCTGCTTGCCCCAAACTCCGCACCGGGAGGGAGCATTTCCAGCCCCTCAGGATGGCCACCATCACCTGCAATCGCTTCACTGAGGAGTACCAGCTCTTTGAGGAACTGGGCAAGTAAGTTGGAGATGGGGCTGGGATGCTCAGAGCGGGGCTGTGCCCTGGCTGGGAGAGAGACTCAGCGCTACTGGGAACTGTTGGAGATGAGGGAAAGGAGATGGGCATGGAGAGAATGCCGTGGGAATCAGAGAGAGCACACGAGTGGGGTCGGGGGCTTCCAGCCCCAGACCTGCTTCTCTGCCCCTGCCTGAGTTCAGGGGCTGCTGATGGGTGCTTGGCTGGGGGCTTGGGACACCCCAGAGGTTTGGAGTTGCCTGGGAAAGGCTCGGCTGCCCCTCTTATGGAAAAGCTGCTCCCAAAAAAGAAGGCTGCTAGCTCCCTGGGGAAGTTCTTCAGCTGGGAGGAGGGACAGGACAGCTGAGGAGGAAAGCCAAAGCAGTGGACACCCCTCACATTTCTTTAGGGAATTTATTTGTGTGGATTCACTAGGGCTTGAGTAGACCTGCAGGAGACCCAGTCTGCCTGGCAGTCCCCAGAGAATCCCCGTGGATTTTGGAAAGATCCAGGGTATTCCCCACCCCTGTCCCGGTGAGCCACAGCCCTGTCCTGACCCTGCTTTCCTGGGAGGGAGGGCTCGGCCCCTCTGGTCCAGCTGTCATCGTGTGTGCCTGGATCAGTGTGTGT